TCTTTTACTATGGATAATTGTTAGTGCTCCATTTGTTCTGCAAATTTGTTTGCATTTAGTCTGTAGATTTTTACAGTTGCTGTTTTGCAATATACTACTGGTTGACATCTATGATTCTTTGAATGTCTTATTAAAATTATTTTTTATCATTTAATTTTTTTGTAGGCATCATCATAATGGGCGATGGGAAGCACGAATTGGGTGCGTTTATGAGAAAAAGTACCTCTACTTAGGCACTTTCAGTAATGTCCTGAACTCTATTTCTCTCGTGTTCGCTCTTGTTCTATGAGATTTAGGATCACGAGCACACACGCAAATACGTGGTCAGACAAAGTGATTATCATAATCACAGGGACAAAGATACTTAATATTTGGACTGTCCCTTTTGGTTTGGTCACTTTCTGTGATCATCATATATAGTATATGTTGTATGTATTCCTGTCCACTATAAACAATAAGATATAAAGGAAAGGGGGTGAGTATGGTACCAGTAGATCTGCCATTAATTAAAAAATTGCTCCTACGGACTCACATGGCGTCACGTGAGTCAAATATTGTGAATACCTCTTAGGAATGGGTTGCTTGATCTGATTTTATGAAGAAAATTATTAGTATGATTAATTAATTAGGTAAGGTTTTGGTGAAAATTATGATCCACTAAGATTCCTGCTCTTTGCTTGAACCCCGTCACACCTGACTATTACATATGCAGTTATGCACCCCCACCTTTACTTATAAAGGTATGTAATAAAGTCAAATTTGATCAGAAAAGAAAACAAAAAGAGGATTAAAGAATAGAATCAATGCCGAATAACAACTTTTATGTCACATGGCAGATTAAGTTGAATCAACTATGTTGGTTTAATATATGTAATTTTTTATGGCAGATTCTTAATTATGCGGAAGTGAATTCCACAAGTTGGTCGAGGTTCTGGTTGTGGACAAACGATTAAGGCGGTAGTACGCATACGAGATTGTCTTCACTTGTGGTATATATATCTGAACCATTCTTTGAAATATTAACTTATTTGTTCTGGTTGGTATAATGATTGTGAATTGTATGAGATTTTTAATTGTGATATAATTGATTGGAATTGCAATAATACTTGCATCATTGACTTAGATACCCATTCAGGGCTTACTCATTAGGAGTAAGTCTTGAATAGTCCCCGGTTTGGGACTGTTCTTGAATGTTCTATCTCATTTAGGTGATAACTACTTGAATTGTTTTGGATCTAAGAAGATCATGGCTCAGTATTTCCTGATTGTTCTCTGGGTACATATGTTGATAGCCGATTATCTACATTGTGTGCTTGGAGAACTATAGGGAAATGCTGCCGGATTTTCTTTAGAACCAAACTTTACAAGTAGTTATTAGTGAGATAGGACATTCAAGAATGGGTTAGGTTGGAGTGATAAGGACCTTATTTGATCATCCGGAGTTGCATTTACATTATATAAACTTTGAATGAAAATGTTTGATGCCTTATATTCTTGTTTATGGTTAAGGAGCTATATATGTTACAAAATATACATTATCTTAAAATTAATTTTGTTATTCAGTGGTTGAAAGTGGATCGAAGTTGGATGTATGGTAAACGAAATTGTACAAGTTTTTTACGAGGAATTGAAGAGTTTAGCACTGTTGCCTTAAAACACCAAACAGAGAATAAATCAAAGAATAATCTTTGTCCTTGTTGTGACTGTAATAATTCGAGGGGATATCGTGATATAGTTGATATTAAAGATCATCTAATTCGTCGTGGGTTTAAATAAAACTACACGAGGTGGACATGGCATGGTGAGAGCATATATATTGAGGCAAGTTCTAGTTATTGTCCAAGGGAAGATGAGAATCATTGTGATGATGATAATGACCCCCAAGGTGAGGATATCGATACAGCTGATGATATTGGTGTTGAAAGTGAGAGTGAAGTGGAGAAGGACAGGATAGATGAAATGATGCAAGATGTTGAAGACCATTTCACAGAGTGTCCCCAGACATATGATAGTATTTTGAGAGCTGCTGAAACCCGTTATATCCTGGTTGTACAAAGTTCACTAAACTTGGCGCTATTATGAAGTTATTCAACTTAAAGGCGAGCAATTGTTGGACTGACAAGGGTTTTACGCAATTGTTAGAAGCCTTAATAAAAATGTTTCCCGACGGGAATGATTTTCCAAACTCCACCTATGAGGCCAAGAAACTTATGTGCCCCTTGGGTATGGAGTATGAGAAGATACATGCTTGTCCCAACGACTGTGTGTTGTATCGAAATGAGTATGCTGATTTGCATGAGTGTCCAAGGTGTGGAGTTTCTCGTTACAACATGAATGATACTGGTGAGATGTGTAAGAAAAGGTCTCCGGCTAAGGTATTATGGTATCTTCCAATTATACCGAGATTTAGGAGACTCTTCTCGGATGAAAAAACTGCAAAATTATTGAGGTGGCATGCTGATGGGAGGAAGAAAGATGGGTTAATGAGGCATCCTGCTGATTCCCCGCAATGGAGGAACATTGATCGAAAGTTCAAGGACTTTGGTGAAGAAGATCGAAATCTTAGGCTTGGTCTTAGTACAGATGGAATGAACCCATTTGGGACACTAAGTACCCAATATAGCACCTGGCCGGTTCTTCTAACTATCTACAATTTGCCTCCTTGGTTATGCATGAAGTCTAGATACATTATGTTGTCCCTTCTAATATCTGGGCCTAAACAACCTGGAAATGTCATTGATGTGTATCTAGCGCCTCTCATTGAAGATTTGAAATTGTTGTGGAATGAAGGTGTCCAAATGTTTGATGCATATAGTAAAACCAATTTCAATTTACGTGCCATGATTTTTTGTACGATAAATGACTTCCCAGCTTATGGGAATTTGTCGGGGTACACTGTGAAGGGAAGAACTCCTTGCCCCATTTGTGAAGATGATTCGGAGGCATTGCGCCTAGACAATTGTGGCAAGCATGTATACATGGATAATCGAAGACATCTTCCAGAAGACCACCCTTTTCGATTCAATAAGGGGTCTTTTAATGGAAAAGTGGAGTTGAGAGAAGCTTGTGGCCCTTTACGTGCAAGTGAGGTTTATCAGCGGATCAAAGACATTGAGAATGAGTTTGCTAAGCCTTACAAAAGCAAATCAACTGGGGGTTACAAGAAGAAGTCTGAGCTATGGTCTCTTCCATATTGGAGACATTTGGAAGTTAGACATTGTCTAGATGTAATGCATATTGAGAAAAATATATGTGATGCCATTGTGGGAACTTTATTGAACATCCCAGGAAAGACAAAGAATGGAGTTAAAGTAAGAAAAGACATGGCTGCTATGGGTCGTTCAGAGTTGGCACCCGAATCTCGAGGAAAACGCTGGTATCTCCCCCAGCTTGCTTTACCTTGTCTAAAAAGGAAAAAACTACCTTCTGTGAGTCATTGCATGGTTTAAAGGTCTCGGCTGGATTTTCTTCTAATTTTTGTAGACTTCTGTCAATGTCTGACTTGAAATTGGGTGGCATGAAATCTCATGATTGTCATGTCTTGATGCAACAATTATTACCAGTTGCCATTCGAGGAATTTTGCCACCTCAAGTGAGGTATAAAATTACAAGATTATGTGTCTTTTTTAACACTATCTGTAGCAAGGTCACAAATCCAAGTATTTTAGATGACTTGCAAGCAGATATACTTGAGACAATGTGTCGATTTGAAATGTATTTTCCCCCATCTTTTTTTGACGTGATGCCTCATTTGGTTATTCATCTTGTACGTGAAATTAAACTTTGTGGACCAGTGTGTATGAGATACATGTATCCTTTTGAACGAGAAATGGGTGACTTAAAGGGAAAAGTCATGAATCCGGCCAAACCTGAAGCTAGTATTGTACAACGAACAGTTGCTGAGGAAGTGGCAGCATGGGTTGCTCAATATCTTGCACGTTCACAGAAAATTGGGTTGCCAAAGTCTCGACACGATGGGAGGCTTGGAGGTCATGGTACTATTGGCAGGAAAAGGATATCCATGGGCTTTGAAATGAAAAATAAGGCCGAGCTTTTTGTGTTGCAAAATCTTAGTGAGGTTCATCCTTACTTGGACGAGCGCATGCTTTTTCTTAAAAATAAATATCCTTCCAAAAGTGATCTTCAGCTGATAAAGGAGCATAATTGTTCATTCGTTACATGGTTCAAGGAACGAGTGATGTCCCAACTATCCACCACACCTAACGATATATCTGACACATTGAGATGGTTGGCATATGGTGCTAAATGTCAAGTCATGTCATATGAGGGATACGACATCAATGGGTATTCTTTTTACACTAGCCGACAAGATGACAAGTCAACAATGCAAAACAGTGGTGTTAAAGTAGTAGGTTTGTCATCTGAGTATGTTAGTGCATATGATAAAACACTTGTGGATAAGAAGAAATTTTATTATGGAATCATTGAAGAAATAATATAGCTGGATTATGTTGATTTCAAGATTCCTCTATTTCGATGTAAGTGGGCTGATAGTAGCCGTGGTGTAAAAAAAGATGAACAAGGGAACTTGACCCTTGTAAATCTTGGTCGACGAGGGCATCTAGCTGATCCATTTATATTAGCTTCACAAGCAAAACAAGTTTTTTACATGGCTGACCCAGCCGATTGTAAGTGGTCAGTTGTTTTAGAAGGTAAAAGAAGGATACTTGGCATTGAAGATGTGGTGGACGAGGAAGAATATGATGAACAATTTAATGAGTCACCACCTTCCGTTTGGAGCATCCCTCCAATAGTCGATGATTTTGACACAACGTTGAAACGAAAAGATCATAATGAAGGATTTTATGTCGCAAAAGAGAAGAATGAAGTAGGTATGAATTCTATGATTTTTTTTTTCCAATATGTGTTAGTAATTGCATAAATTGCTTATTATTGTTATGTGTGCAAGTTTATAATTTAAAAATGATATAAATCGATGTCTTAATTTATTTATGTCTTTTTTTTTCAGGTAAGTAATAATGGAGGATGAGGATTTGCATAATCGTTCCATGTCTTTGCAAAGTGAGGAAGATGAGCCACACAATCAATCACTATCAGAGCTACAAACAACCGACTCTCAGAAGAAGAAAAAAAAGCCAAGAGGTCCTTCAAAGGGCCTAAAATCCATGCCTGGGGTTCCTAGAGTGCTTGAATGGGATGAATTGTGTCGACCCATTGGAAAGTGGGCAAAAGCATCCAAAATTCATGTTGGTGAAATAAGTCGTGCAAAGGTGTCTATATTGTATAAAGATTGGAATCAAGTTCCACAAGGAATAAAAGACACTTTGTGGGAAGATGTTAAGGTAATATTGACTATTATATGTTAAATGTTATACTATTATATGATCATTTTGACATTATTTGAATATGATGAAAACAATTTATTTGAATATGATGAAATTATTTACTAACTTTTTTTATTTTTTAAATTTTTTGCGTAGAGAGAGTTTCAAATCGAAGAAGATGAAGACAAGAAAAAAAAGGTCTTACGCACTTGTGATAAAACTTGGAGAGATTTCAAAATAAAATTGGTCAGTGGTTGGATCACATGTACCAGGAATATGCCGAAGGAGATAAGAATGTCGTATGTACTCTATGATTTCATATCTGAGGATATGTGGAAAACATTTGTGGAGGAGCATACTACAGATGATTTTAAGGTTTGTGTGTATTAATATCAATGATCATGCGGGTTATTAATACTTTGTTAACGGATTCTTATGTACTAATCTTCATTTATGCTCGTGAAAATAGGAAATCAGTGAGAAGGCAAGACAAAGCCAGTCTTTCAACGAATAACCTCACCATTTAGGAGCCAAATCATATGGTGAAATGAATATTGTATGGCGTAGAAAAGGGTATATTCCCACGACATCTTCAGCATCCAATACTTCATCTTGTTCTTCGGTTGTGTCTAGTTTGCCGGATAGGACATATGCTTGGCTTCTAGCAAGATCAATAGAAGATGATAAGGGAAATCCTTATTTTCCGGATGAGAAAACAAGAGAGGTGAAAGAATCCATTGTAAGTATATAATAAGTATATGTAATAAGTCTTTATTTCAATTTTGAATATATTTTGTTAAGTTTATGTATTGCAGCCAAAGTTTTCTAACTTGAAATCATTGTGTAGGATAATTGGAGAAAGCAACAAGCTGAAGGAAACTTTGTTCCTAATAGGCATGATGATATCTTATCTCGTGCCCTTGGGAAAAAAGATCGTAATGGTCGGGCAATAGCATTTAGCAGTGGAATTGGCATTAAAGCTGTATGGGGATCCGGAGAGAGGCGTAGTGGCCGACGAGGTAGGGAATTCGGAGATGATGAGCTGGAAGAATTAGAGGCAAGAGTAGCCCGGAGGGTACCAGAGGAGACTATGCAGGAGATGGATTCTAAAATGGATTCCATGGTTCAAGAGAAGTTTATGTTATTTGCTAAACAGATTGGTATTCAAATTCCAACTGAAATGATAGAAATGAATAACATAGGCCGGACGACTCAACAAAATCCTAGTAGTTGCCAATCAGTGGGTGATGATCCATTTGCAAACATATAGGTATCCAACACTTTGTTATTTTATATTTTGTATCTTTTTTTTTAAATGATTTATGACTGCGACATACTTTTAACTTTGTAACTCAGTTTTCTATATTTTTTAATTATGATTTTTTTCTATCTTTATAAGGAACCGGTTCCTTGTCGGCTATCATTGTTGAAAAATGACTCTGAGAAAGTCATTGTAGCTGAAGGTACATATCATCCGGAGTTAATCCTTGATCATCATATTAACCTCCTTCCGGATCACGTGAGGGTGAGTGTTGATGATTTTTTTGACGAGTTCAAAGAATTCTCGGTTCCAATTCCTTCTTCAGTCATCAAGAAACTTAAGCATGCTCATGGTACATTTACCCAATGGCCGAAATACTTGGTTTCACTCATGCATGACAAGGTAAATTATTTTTGTAACAATTTACATATAGTTTTCCATACAAAATATAGCAAATTGTTGAATAGATTTTCTTTACTATTGATTAGGAATTCATATCAAATAAGAACAATGGTAACAACAAAGCGGCCAAAGAAAACATGCAAGACAAAATGAAAGTAGTTGAAAGTGGTCGCGAAACAAAAGAGTCCAACACCAATCCAAAAAAAGTTTTTCTTATGGATTATGCTTTCGAAAACTTGTCTCAGAAGTGTGGGTCTTTGAATAGTTTGTTATCTTCATTACCCGAAGGTGAAACTATTAAGTTTAAGGCTGATGCTTGGACCTTTAGTTATGAAGACAGTAAGGACATCATTATCAAACGTGAAGATGTCAATCAACTTCTCACAGGAGCTTGGCTGAATATTTCAGTTTTGCAAGTTTTTATGATGTAAGATATTCAAATTTCACTCTTCCCATATACTTATTTATTACCATTTATAATGTTATTACATGATATATATGTAGGGCCTTGAGTGACTTACTCGATACGGAGGAAGTGGCTTCCATTGGATTCATGTGTCCGGAAATGATTTCAGAAACCTATTTGCATAGTGATGTTGATCGTATCCTACTATACATGACACATGTGATGGAAAAACAAAAATCTAAGCAGTTCATCTTATGCCCATACCATGAAAAGTATAAACTTTGAACTTGTATTTATTTAAACTTTGCAAATTGTTGATATTATTTTACTCTTTTACAAATGTGTGTCTAATTTATTATGTAGGAATCATTGAGTTCTTTTGGTCTTATGCATGGCTAAGCGTGAAGTCATCATCTTTGATTCTTTGAGGTAGAAGCGAAATTTAGCAATTAAGTTTGCAATGACAAAGTAAGTCTAGTTTGTTATTAATGTCTTGATTTTATGTGTGTAAGGGTAATATATATGTTATTTGTTTCAAATGTGTAGTGCTTTTCGAAGTTTTAAGGCATTAAGTGGACAATCTAGGGGAAGTAAATTGACATGGCATTTGGGACAGGTTACCTTAATTTCTGACCCTAAATTTTAGTTTCTTAATAATTGAAGTATAGCAATTTAATTCAACTTACAAATATATTACATGTAGTGTCCTCAACAATTGGGTGGACGTGAGTGTGGCTACTACGTCATGCGTTATATGTACGAAATACTTGAACATCACCATAGCAGTGAAGATCTTATTCAGGTATGAGTTGTCAAATATTTCATTTTTGTTTGATAAATACAATTTGATGTTAGCTACAATCTTGAATTAAAACTTTCCTCTTGTATATTTGTTGTGTTGATAGGATTTTTCAAGAACTACACCGTACACCGAGGAGGAGATAAATGAGATCCGAGATATTTGGGCAGAGTATTTTATATGTAATGTTGAACTTTAGATTTACCACTTAGCGCATGTTTAACTCTTGTTTTGGATTATAGGCTTGAAATGAAGTAATTTGGTTAATTGGTGTTGGGATGATGAGTATAATGTCTATGATATTGAGATGTAAATTATTGGACAGGTTGTTAATATAATGTCGTCATTCCCAATTTAATGGGTAGGCCAAATTACAAAGGAGACTCTGCCGAAATTTACATTTGCATTATTCAATAATATTGCATTTTAATTTCAATTATATTAGCGTTAGCATATTACTTTATACCTAGGAAAACAGGTACTACAAACATATACAAGGCAATTATTATATTATAATTAAAAAAAAAAAATTCACCTCATTTGCGTCACTCATTAAACAAACAAGTGACGCAAATACAGCAGTTTTGTATTGTCTACTCAGTCATTTGCGTCACTCCTATATAAACAAGTGACACAAATAACAAAAAATAAGTTTATTGGAAGAGTCATTTGCGTCGCTTGTTTATGAAGGAGCGACGCAAATAACAAAAAAAGTTTATCAAAAGAGTCATTTGCGTCGCTTGTTTATAAAGGGGCGGCGCAAATGACTAAAAATAAGTTTATCAGAAAAGTCATTTGCGTCGCTCTTTTATAAAGGAGTGACGCAAATAACAAAAAATAAGTTTATCTAAAGAGTTATTTGCGTCGCTCCTTTATAAAAGAGTGACGCAAATAACAAAAAATTAGTTTGTCAGAAGAGTCATTTGCGTCGCTTGTTTATAAAGGAGCGACGCAAATGATCTTATTTGCGTCGCGCCTAGGAGCGACGCAAATGACTTAAAAGTCATTTGCGTCGCGAGCAGTTGCGTCGCTCATAGAAGCGACGCAAATACACTATAAATGAGCGACGCAAATAAGCCTTTTTCTACTAGTGCTCTATGGTGGTAACCGTAGTGGCTCTGGCACAGAGGAACGAGTGCAGGCAAGGTCAACGATGTCTTTGGTGCCTTCGACAAAACCATGGACTTACTTGGCCATATGCTTGATGCTAAGGAACGACCTTGGCTTGTAGATTGTCTACCCAAAGCTTTCCTTGGTGGACTACTGTAGACACCTAAAAATGTCTCCCCAAAACCAAACCCGATGATGAACAACCTTTCACCGCCATTATTGGACATGTTGAGTATTTAATTTTTGGAGTGCTTAAATCCATATTTTCATTTAATAAACCAACCCGATTCCTAGCCCATTTCCCCAAACCGTCACTTATTTTCCTCTTTTCGTGCCTTAAAACCCAAAACAATTCATTTCGTGTCCTTTTTATAAAAATGTTTATTTCTGTTTATTTTGGTCCATAATCTGGGTCCAATGATTAAAACTTTGGATGGGGATTGAAAATATCTTTCCAACGATATATTATAAGCCCAAATCCGAATTATAACGAATAAGTTATGACCAAAATATTAAAATGAGCCCAAACCGTACCTAAGCCCACCTTACCTACGACCTAATGATCATGTGGAGGGTCCAAATTATTTAATCCCATTCCTAAATCAATTAGGATTAATTAGAAGCTTCTATAAGTTTCTAAAAGATTTTGATTATCCTTTTTGAAAAGATAAGACTAAATAATTTGAAATTGAATAAAACTCTTTTTTTTGAAAGTCCTAATTCTATTCGAATCGAAAGACGTTCAAAGATAGACAGATAATATTTTAGGCCTCACATTTTTTATCCAAATATTATATGGTTGGATAGCCCTTGAAATTATCTTTCCAATGATATATTATAATATCAATTCCGAGCTATAACGGAAAAGATATGAATAAAATTTCAAACTCTATCCAAAACTGACACCGTCTCACCATTTCGGCTATATATTTTATTATATAAAATATTTTAATCTGATTCTAATTGGGTTAGAAATTAGACTTCAAGAGCTTTCCAACGATATCTTATTCATCTTATTCCAATTTCTGGATCAAAAGATACGATAAAAACAAATACCGCAAAAACTGTTGTCTATCGAGTTTTATTCCGATTTAATTCAGATCTTATCCTGAATTTTTCGACCCTTCTTTTTTCTCTATAAATAGAGGTCATAACTCCCCTTTTTTCAAATATCAATAAGCTTGATCATCAAATAATTATCTTCTCCCTCTTTAGCCTAAACACTAGCCATCCTATTTTCTCAAAATACTTCCCCTAATTAAGCACTCCAAGGAGTTCATACAATACCCAAAGTTCTATACTTAAACCAAGGCGTGAAAGGTATAATTGACTGAGGGTTTGGACCAAATCAACTCTAGTTTAATTTAATTTCCATTTGCTTTATATTTTTATTGAAGTTACTAACAATTTATTCATGATGTAGCAATTTAAAGGAACGCGCGGAATGTGAGTAATTAATTAATTTAATTACTCTTATTTTATTTTAATATTGCTAGCATCATGATTAGGTAATTATTATTATTTGATTTGACTAACAATTTATTGTTAAATTGCTTCCAAGAATCGAGTAGAGGCCAATACGGGCGAATGTGACTCCATGACTCACTTCGTACCATCATCCTCGGTCCTCCTTTTGCGGTTCCGAACCATATGGAGTTAGTAATCTCATGGATTATGAATGGGGTGTTACCTTCACGGGTCAATCGTTGTTGCCTTCGTTGTCCCTTATTCGTGGTTGCCTTATAATGATCCGTGAACGGTTTACAAGTTCCTTAAAAACTTGTTGGCGGCTCCCTACTTTTCTTGTCCCTAATCATATTATGTCAATTCCCACTTCCTATGAGGTTCAAGCATATTCACACATGCTTTTAACGTAGGCGCACTTCAAACGACGCCTACAACTACCTATAGTAGGGACTCCTTGACGGTTATGCTTAGTCATCGTGGTTGTATGTGCTTGCCTTAAATCTAGGGATTGGCTAAGTAGTGGGGATGGTGGGCGGTTATATAAGGTAACCACCCACGTTGCACCACTCTCCCTAAATTGTTGGGACGGTTATGCTGAGGTGGCACGTGTCTAAATATGGTTCCTAAAATATAGGACCATGATGTTAGTGGGTTAACTAACGGTTACCTTCATTGTGCTTTTGACGTGGTCAAAGGGGAACACAGTTAAGCCACTACGGAGGCGGTTCCTATAAAATAGGAGAACCAGAGTAGTGGGGTGTAACCATGAACGTGGGTAGTTATTCTAAGGGGATAAGGCCACGTCATGTGGAAGTTACTCCACTCACTTAGTGGCCCTAGAAAATAGGAACACTAAGGGAGTGGGCGGTTACACTGATCAGGCGGTTGAGCACCACTTAAGCACACTGATGCATGTCTCCTAAAATGTAGGAACATGGCTTAGTGGGGTGTGACGGTTACCAAGCGGTTACAAGAGCATGCTGAACGTGGATAAGTTTCTTGAGTACGTGGACAAGTCCATATACATTCAAGTAATATAAGCATCCAACTAGTGGGCAGTTACTAGATCATGGGTGTAGTGGGCATAGTGGGTAGTTAGCCTATCTGACTGGGTTGTAGTCAGTGCCTATAAATAGGCCAAGGCATTCATTTACTGGGCATCGAATTTGGGAGCTCTAGAGAGAGAATCTAGATAGAGAAACTCCTTGTAATTTGTAAGCCACGAAAATAATAAAGTGTTTACGTTGTTGGTGCTTGTCTCTTACTTGTGTGCGTTTATCCTTTGTTGTTTGAGTGTTAGGCTGATCTAGACTTGATCTAGGCGTCATCACGAGAACCTCCTAAGTTCCTAACTTAGAAAAAAAAAAATTAGTCCACAAAATATCCTGTGACAAATAATATCATGGAGTTGTAGCTTAGGCCTCCGTAAAACCGAAGCGGTTAACTCCACCTTTTTAGCTAAACTAAGTTGGAAAATAATCACTAGCCCAAATAATCTTTGGGTTCGTTCTATCATTGCTAAATACTTCGTATCTAACTCTTAAATCCTTTTTTGAATATTGTCCTCAACCAAAGGACTCTTGGATTTGGAAAAAAATTCTTCAAATTCGCCCCCTCCTACTTCCTGGCCTTTGATGGAAAATTGGTAATGGTACTAGTGTTCTATTCTGGCCTGATAATTGGTGCTCTTCTGAAAATTTAATTACTATGCTTAATTTAGATATTTTGAATATCCAAAACCTAGATTTTACTGTTGATCATTACTCTGTCCCTTTATGTGTTGTCTAATATTGTATTGTCCATCTTATAAAAGGAATCTCACTTCCCTCTTCGGATATTCAGGATGAGCCTTGTTGGGGTTTCTCTAACACTGGTGATTTTAATGTCAAATTAGCTACTTGGCTTGCTCATAATATCTCTTCTCATACTAAATGAGAATTTTCTTGGATTTGGAAACTTGATATATCTCCAAAAACGAAAATTTTTGTTTGGCAACTTCTTCATAATGCTCTACCTACTAGGGCTAATCTTGCTCATCGTTAGTTGGATATTTCTTATGTGTGCCCCCTTTGTAATTGTCATGATGAAACTCAAAAGATCATCTTTTTCTATCTTGTTCATACACTTCTCAATTTTGGCATGCTGATGCTACTATTCGTTGGAATTGTCGGGTACCTTTAACTATTGGTATTTATTTGCCTTTGAAAGTTTTAAAGGGTAATTTCTCTATGTCTCTATAAAAAGGTTATAACTTTTTTATGGAGTTTCTAGAAAACTAGAAATTCAGTGATTTTTGATGAAATTGCTATTTCTCCTATGACTATTTTTTCTCGTGCCCAAAAAAGTTATCATGAATGGCAGTTTCGTTCTTGTCTCAACTCTTTGGATACTCCTACTCTCGCTCTTCCTTCTCATCCTACCCCAAGGAGTATACGTGTTTTTTGGTCGCCTCCTCTCCCCGGTGTTGTTAAAATAAATTTTGATGGTTCTATTCGAGAAGGTTCAGGGGCTGTAGGCATTGTTTTAAAAGATCATTTAGGAAATAATATTTGTAGTCGTTCTTTTAATATTGGTATGAGTACTCCTCTTATTGCTGAAGCTATGGCCCTTCGTAATGGTCTTCTTTTGGCGTAAGCTCATAATATTTAAAAAGTATTTATTGAAAGGGATAATTTGCTTATTATTAATATTTTGCAGGGAAAGACTTAGTACCCGTAGAAAATTCCTATTAATGGAGGACGTTAAGGAGCTGATTCGAAATTTCACCTATGTTGATTCGCGCCACATTTAGAGAGAAGGTAATAGAGCAGCAGACTACGTTGCTTCTTTGAGCCATTTTATGTAAGCTCACCAAGATATCGATTAGTTTATAGATAGTAAATTTTCTTTTTTTTATTTATTTATTCTGATAAGTTAGGGTATAGTCTTGACTCTTGAGAGAAGATTATCCTAATTTTTTGTTCACCTTTCCATTAAAAAAAAATAGAGTTCAGTTTGTCAATTATTTTATTTTATTCCATTCAATTATATTCGTTGGTCTCATGTTAAAACGGATGGTGATGTTGCAGCACATCACCTATAGAGCTAGTTTCTATCAAAGTGAACAAGTTTGGAAAAATTATGTTCCTGCTTCTCTATTTATTTAGCTTTCCTATTTATCACATGTTACTTACCCACAATTGCTTGCCCAACTTTAATTAATCTAGTATCTAAATTGATATTGTCTCACTTTTTACGAATTGAATGCTATTACTAGTAATATTATTTGTGAAATTGTAAATAAGCAGGGTGCTATCTGAACCAACACAATCAAAAGTTTATAATATTGTCATTCATATACTCAATCTAAAAGATACAATAATCTAGATCTTCTATATGAAACCCTAAAGCAAAATTTATACAACCAACATGTTGTGTAGAGTGATCCGAGAGTCAACTATCCTAGTTGTCACACTTGGGGAAAAACTTCATAACTTGGGATAAAGTTATGTTTGCATACATTAAAAAATATAATGTGCAAAAAAAAAAAGCAATATTTTCATAGATTTTCATACAAATTAAGGTTAGTATGGCAAGACATTACCATGTATTAGATGTACCAAAGAGGTGTAGGTACCAAATATCGCAATCAATATACTAAACACTATAATTGCAATGATTATAGAACGCTCGCTTCCAACGCTAGAACTTGAAATCTTCAAGAAGCACAAGCATGGGATTGTAATTGAAGCAGTAATGCTTAAAAATGCTCCAACCAAAGAAATAAGATGTCCAAAGAAAGGAACTGTCAATGCTATGATAACTTGACTAGCAACCAGAGCTGTTCGGATGAGAATTTTGAAGGATCTCTTTTTGTGGTAATTCGGAAACCAGCTCTCAGTAGCACTTGCAACTGGTTCTAACATCAGTGCATATTTTGAAAGTGGACTGACCAATGTGGTGTATATTGCCACTTTCGAGCTCAGTTTACCAATTGGAAGGTTCAGAGTTATCTCTGCATCCAACTTTGAACCAAACATCAGATAGCCCAATATCGCGATGGATGCATAACTGATGGTCATGCAGACAAAGCATAGTAATAGTACCTGCAGAAACATGGATCATATGTAAATAAACTTGTGAAAAGCACGAAATATGCATACTAATATTGATTGGACTATTACAGTGAATGTGACTTGTAGCACAACTTATCTGAACCTGAATTACTCGAATCAACCATATCTCAAACTTAAAACATATACTATCCACACCAATCTAAAACAGAACCAAATGATAACCCAAAATAAAACTCGAAGAAAACCAAAATTTGAATAGGATGGGAAACTTTACCCTAGAGAAGTTATGTCTTTTCTTCATCGAATGGTAAAGGGTTGGGAAAATAGGATGAGCACAATAACAGAAGCCGTACAAGCTGACAGCCGTAGGGATCCCTGACCAATTCAGAAGCTCCCCTTTGTTGTGGAATCCGACACCATCAAATGCACCAACCCATACAACCGATACAATGATCACAACAGAAGCGAGAACACCAGTAGCAGAGATGTAAGACAGAACACTGATGTTACTTAACCAAACAGAAGGAGTAATAAGAAGTGCAACAATAATTACAAAGCTTTTTCTTCCTTCAACTTCTAGGCCAAAAGCGCTGAAGTTCATTTCAGGAAATAGATTATGTAAATTGTCTCCTTCGATAATCAAGAAACCTGTTACAACAAAGTACAGCTCTGCACACATAAACACTGATACAACTGTTCTTCCAACATTCCCAAATGCGCGTTCTCCTATGTCAGGGAAAGATGTGATACTTGGATCAACTTCCATGCATCGCTTAATCAGCAAACCGGCATAAAATGCTGCCAGGGCAATGGCGAAAAGTAATGGCAAGCTAAGCCAACCCCCTGATGCTAGAGCAAATGGTACTGATAGTATTCCAACTCCTGTTCAAAAGGTCTTGAAATTAAGTTATCAGAGTAAAATAATAACCAAGTATAAGGAAATGAAAGACAAAATCCGGGTTATTTACAGATGAACAACGAACATCCTCTTCATTGTTTGTTGTCATAGAAACAGTGAGCGTTGCATACAGATGAACAACGAACAGAAACATAAAAGGAAGTACATAGCCAGAACAGAACATTGCAACCCTAAACTATAAAAGAAATCTAGTTATATAAGAGGAAATCATTAGCATACAATGCAATAACATAAACTATAAAAGAAATCTAGTTATATAAGAGGAAAATTTAATTTTATGTATCTGAATGAATCATAAACATTTAACCACTATACAGTACAAAGTATAAATTTCCTGCTGTTATCATCCACTAAGAAATTCTTATATGCCTATGATAGTTTATATATGAATATGCGACGATTTTGATAAGATCATAGGAAATTCTATGATTCTTAAGGATTTTAAGACCCCGAGATTGTTGAAATGTACTTGACAAGGGAATAGAATCAAATTGAGCTATACTTCTGTGATGAATTTATAAGGAGCAAATGTGTAACATACATGTCCATCACTAACACCCTCAAGAAATTATTGTTACATTATCAGTGTAAGTTCCATTACAATAAAAAAAAATGGATGATCACTACTCCAACATTAGTACTGCCCTTAATCCCTCCGGTTAGGCAGCTCAAAGATCATATGAGTCACGTTGTCATGTTGTCTCAATCTCTCTTACTAAAAGTTCACCCTCGCGAATAATAAGTGACTATAGTATCCAAATCTTTCATAATTGTGACATAACATGACTTTAATAAAAACTTTTTACAACACTTCTATCATATGCCAACTACTTCACAAAGCAGACTTAACAAAACCAATCATACGAGTAAATCATGATTATAAACATAATTTGATCATATATCTTAACTACTTCCCCCAATGCTTAACCAGCTAAGCTAGTTGACATCTCTTCTTTTCCGTGACTAATAAACAAAGAAAGTATATTATATAGTACTCATAGACAAAATCTGTTGCAAGTAGTAAAATATTGGAAAATCAATTAAGTAAGCTATAAAAAAGTTTACTTAATTTGAATTCATTCACCCTTATGGAAGGATCTCACTGCTTGAGTAAATAGAAAGAGTATCACCTAGGATAAATTAATTTAATTTCTAAAGTTCTGTGCCAACTGCCAAGTAATTTAATTACACTTTTTATGGGACAGTACAACTGATTTGAAATATTTATGATCAATCACCAAATGTGTATATTCTATAGTGCAAATTACATAGTCCCATCTGCAATTTTAAGACCACCACTTTATTAATTAAGCACAAAATGATGCATTCTACGTGTCATATATACTCATAGTTCATGATAAGTTAATTATCATTATTTGTTTGCTTTTTTGTTTTCTTTTACTTTATTTTTTTGTTTTTGTATGACTGTAAAATTTCAATGTATTCTATGAAGGGTAGAGCATCATAGAAATTGGGGGATGACAAGTGGGGTGATATAAGTATATAACTATGTACCACCCACCTGTCTAAGCTCTAATCTCGAGGAGATAATGTGCACCCGAATGGACATAAAGGCTCAACAAACTTTAACTTTAAAAAAAGGTAAGGGAAAACAAAAAAGCATGAACCTCAAGAGCTTAACTTTGTAATGAACTAATGGTCCACCAATCCATCTACATAATATACACTCGGATGTACGTAGCATTCCATCAATCAATGATATGCAATTTGGCCATATATGTGTAAAATGACTTCTTATCTTATTATTAAAAGTGACAATATCAATTCCCTAGCCACTTAAGATTGTATCAACAAGACTATTATTGCTCTGATCACGGGTTCCATACTGACTTAAATTTGCTCTAGGACCATTGAATGGTACGTGACTGTAAGAACATGAGAGGGTGTAATTTTACAACACGATTACAACACAATAAACACCTTTTATTACGATCATATCTATGTCTTCTATTACGGCGAAAATGACACAAATCATGATGATTAATTAGATTCATTAATCATGTAGCAAAATGAAATTGCACCCTTTATATGATCTTTAATTAATACACTCAATCTCAATAATAATAATAATAATAATAAGAAGAAGAAGAAGAAGAAGAAAACGGAGGTAATTCTAATAATGATTCAATCATTCAATTCACAATTACAAGAAAAACATAAAACAGATGAATTAAAAACCTGAAAGGGCGTTGAGGCCATTGAAGAGCGTCTTCGCAAACGAAGCATCACCTTCTTGAACAAACTTAACACTCGCACTTGATTCACCTTCACCTGAAAGGGCGTTAATATCATCTTGCAAATCATTCTCCAAAAGAGGTTGTCTAACGTAAACACTCGCACTTGATTCACCTTCACCTTCCATCACTCTTGGAGAACTTTTTTATTTATTGATTTTCAATTTTTGTTTTTTTTTTGAGTATAAAAGAGAACAATGATTTGAGTATTTATTTATATAAATTAATAGTGGCAGTGAGAAATTAATGATCTAGAAAAAAAAAAGAAGCAAAAGAAAAAAAAATGAAGATATGAAATTAATTATGTAACTAGTAGTTGAGGAGAGAATGGAGCTTTACTCAAGCTAACATGTGAAAAGGGTAGGATTTCACGGATTTATGTGTACAAATTTTTTTTGTGTATATTTATAACCACATATAACTATTTAGCGTGGCATTCATTTGTTGATTTCATGCCCTAATAATAGAAAATTAAAAATAAATTATTTATGTGTTTTAAATATATTTAACTTTACTTTTACTTCTATAAAAGGTTTTATAAAGAATTAATTTATGCTAAATATGACTATAGACGAACGTGATAATCATGGATGATGTCGTTTGTACAAAATATACTTCGAGTCTGTTCATATTTACTGAAGTGTGTTGAACTAAACTAAACTGAACTGATTGAAGCTAAATTGAACTAAACTTGTTGATAGGAGCTGAACTAAAATGATAGGATCTGAATTAATGAACTGAATTAAATTGAAATTAAGCTGAAATGAACAGACCCTTCGTATTAGGGTGTTTAGCGAGCCTATTATGTATACCGGGGTCATTTGCTTATCCAACCAACAAATGAGTAAAAATATTATTTGCTCATTTGTTGATTAAATGAGCAAATGACCCCGGGTATACGGTATACCGAGTGTATATAACAAATTTCAGGTTGTTCATACTATCATATATTTTAGCTATATATCATATCACAATTCCTCAGTTCATCTCTTAGCTTATACGAATATACACCATATGCCTATTAAAATTTCAGCTCACTAGATAGATAGTCATGTGACGACATATAGATTAAGCACTTTGACAAATTATTTATGAGAGAATAGCTTGAATTGTATTGATGATCTTGGCTATTATTTATAGCCTATAAAAGATAACCTACACAATATAAACTCTATCATATAAGCTTCCATAAATCTATCTTAGAATATCACTAAGATATATTATTATCCTAAATATAATATTATGAGATCTATATGGAAAATATATCAGAATAATATATTTTATAAATAGCTTGAATTGTATTGATGATCTTGGGTATTATTTATAGCCTACAAAAGATAACCTACACAATATAAACTCTATCATATAAGCTTTCATAAATCTATCTTAGAATATTACTAAGATATATTATTATCCTAAATATAATATTATGAGATCTATATGGAAAATATATCAGAATAATATATTTTATAAATAGCTTGAATTGTATTGATGATCTTGGGTATTATTTATAGCCTACAAAAGATAACCTACACAATATAAACTCTATCATATAAACTCTATCATATAAGCTTTCATAAATCTATCTTAGAATATTACTAAGATATATTATTATCCTAAATATAATATTATGAGATCTATATGGAAAATATATCAGAATAATATATTTTCCTATATTCCTAACACACTTGGATTAATTAAAGTGTGACTAGATAAAATGGCCAATTGCAGATTTGTACGATTTAGCAGTTCAACAATTTTTAACCATAGATTTTTAATTTTGCGTTTTTTTAATATTTTGTCTGCCACTTATGCATTATATATTTATATACGTGCGTAAAAGAAATTAAATGTGTTCAAAATTTCTTTTCATATATAGTGGGGTAAACTTTAAAGATTTTGACAACAAAATATCATTAGCCTATAAGTGATAATATAATCATGTGAGAACTGATTGGATTCGTTTTATTATATAATAAATTAATACGAAGTAATAGTTTTTATATAATTTTACACATATGAAAAATGGAGATAAAAATGTTTTAAGACGAAGTAATAGTTTTTATATTGTAATAGTTTTATTGAAATAGTTTTTTTATATTTAATTAATACGAAGTAATAATTTTTACATAATAGTTTTTATATTTAACTATACAAAGTAATAGGTAAAATTGTTTTAAGACGAAGTAATAGTTTTTATATTGTAATAGTTTTATTGTAATAGTTTAAATATGTAATTAATACGAAGTAATAGTTTTTATATAATGTAGTCTGTGAAAAGTTAAATGAGGCAAATATAAGGGATATGGAGGGAGGACACATCATACATGGGAATTGAACTTGTGTTTCTTTTGGTTTTCCAAATTTATACATTTTCTATTTTTTTTAGTTAATACATTTCTTTTATCACTATTGTTACACATGCAATTTTTATATATAATTAATATGTGTAATTATCAAAATATTAAAATTATAAAAAGTATATTTTTAAAAAATTTACCTTTAAGCAATTCAAACAAGATTCTACATGACTATGTTTTACATAGTAAATCATAATTTATCAATTGTTTTCACCAAAAAAACAAAATTATAAATAGTACTCCGTATCACGAGTGAGAATGAGGGATAGATCAAGTGGTTAGACCTTCCCTTCCATTTCTAGAAAACTTAGGGATAGATTTTTACCTCCCTTATAACTCTCTAATCACCAAAAATAAATAGTATCACAACTCAAAATTAAAGATCTAGCTAAAATAACTTTATCTTAATCTCTTTGCATTCTTTCAATCCTATCATAAAGACATAAAGTTTTAGGTGGTTTTGTTTTGTTTTTTTGCTGCTTTGTTTTGTTTGTTTGTTTTGTTCATGTGTGGTTTGCTTTTTGAAGTCTTTTTCTTGGTTTGGGGCTTTGCCCCTCTGATTCACAGGCACACACAAAAATAAAAAATTATCCATATTTTAGTTTTTGACAGCCCAAAAAAAAAAAAAAAAAAATCTGCAATTATTCTATTCAATAACATCCGTTTTACCAAATAATTATCTTGTATCATTGTCTCTATTCTAAAATTTCATAAATGTTATATACTCCCTCCGTTTTTAAATACTTACTCCACTTTTTTTTTCGGCCATTTTTAAATACTTGCTTCATTTCCTTTTTTGAAAAGTTTTTACAATATTTAATTCATTTCTCACATTTAGTGGACCCAACATAATACTCTCTCTCCTCCTATTCTTCCACTACTTGTGTTTTTTATAATTTTTTATTCTCCCAACTACCCTACTAACTTCATATTTTATTATTCCGTACTTTCTCCAATTTCTCCTAAAATTCCGTACATGGAGAAATGAAGCAAGTATTTAAAAACGGAGGGAATATCAATTAGTGGTTCGAGGCGTATGCACTGTCACATCATGCATACGTTTCATTAAAAAAAGGCGGAATGAACATACTACATAAATGCAATGAACATATCGTTACAGTGAAAAAAATATAATATTAGAATGTAATGAATATTTACCTAGACTGAAAAGAACATGCTATTAAAATATAATGAACATTTACATATAGTGAAAAGAACATATTGTTGAATACGAGTAATGTCTTTTATGTCCATATTATTTTATTGTCAGGATAATGTTTTTTTATTTGTGACATAATTTTCATTGTATATTTTGAAATATTTTTTGAATTTTGTCTTTGGATTTTGGTAGTCGAATATAAATAATGTTCACTACACTATATTATCATGTGCTTTATTAATATTACGGTTGTTCTTTACATATAAAAAAACCACATAAAGCTATATATTCTGTATAAAATAGTTATATGTTCTTTATAAAACAATTATATGTTCATTATAAAATAACTATATATTCATCCCTCATTTTCTATTAAAAAAAATCCGTATGCACAGAGCATCGTGCATACCCCTCTAGAGAAAAATTTTCACTTATATATTAACCTTTCTCGTCCGAGGAAAAAATTTCAGTTATATATTAACCTTTCTCGTATAGAATATTTCTATGTATATATATATATATATATTGAATATATATATATATTTGAGACGGAGAGATTTAACCCCATATCGCTATTCGCCTATTCGCTAATATATCTTTGAATATTGTAGTAATTTGTCATTTACCAGACGACACTTTACAAGTTAACAACCCAAATTTGCTAAGTGCCACATAAGATACTACTAAGATTAATCATGACATGTATGATGCCACATAATGAAGATTAGGATAAATCTTTGCTATGATAGATCTGTGTTAGGAATATAGGATAGAGACAAAACAAGAGTTTTATTTATGTCAAACTTTCACAGTTGTGTAGGTGTCTTATAAATGTTTTGATTGTATGTACGTATCTAAATAACTTCTATAACATATTTTAAAATAAGATCCATACTCTTATAGTTAATTTTTTTTATTTTAAAAAAGAAATTAATTCCAAATTAAATGACACTAATTTTATTAATTAAATTCATACCACATATACAATTGATTTTTTTTTTGTTTGACAAGAGCAAATGAACAAACAAACTACAAAAAAAATTAACGAATTAAAACGACAGTTCCTAGCAATATCGTTTGCCCTTTGGATTTGGTCTCTTTGAGTTTTCACGATGGTGCATTATTTGAAATAATCTCCTACTTCCTTTAAATCCTTTATCATCCGAGAAATCTCTACATCCTTACCAAGTTGGTCTTAAAGATTGTTGAGGAGGGAGATAGAGTCCGAGAGGACTAGAATTCCTTATTTGCCCTTTGCACGAGCCCAGGCCTCACACTGAAGAGCGGAGTTTGCGGCCCCATGTTTTCCCCCTTCACTTGGGTTCATCACACTGCCATTATCCATAGTTGAACACCCAATCCTTGCACTCGTTGTCTTTTTATCCCAAGAGTCGTTCACTCCCACAATGAAGTCGTCAAGTCCCTTTCTTTTCCCAATTAAATATGATTGAACCCTGGTGGGAGGGAAGGCCCATCCCTTACCTCGTCCGCAATATTGTGATGCAAGTCTTCAATTTGAGTGAATGTCTCATGGTCTTGCATTGCTTGGTTGATGAATTTCGTAACCAAGCTTGCTTCCCCTGTCGTATCATTGAAACTTCTTGCGTTCCTAGTTTTCCATATAGTCCTCATAAAGTTGCTATAAACAAAACAATACGGGTACTATGCTTACCATCCTCGCTATTGAACAACAGGATAAAGGATTGGATCCACATTCTCAAGGAATTGAACCTAGTAGAGTAAGAGAAAATTGCCAAGACACTATTCTCCCTGACCTCCTTTACTAGATTACAGAACCGAAAGAGGTGTTGGCTGTCTTCCGAATCCACCCCACAATAGCCGCAGGTATCATCAATTTGGATACCTCTATTGGCTAAATTAACCTTGACTACAATTCCATCATGATAAAGCTTCCACAAAAAGATAGATCTTCC